GAACATTGCTTGTGGATATGTGAATTGTTAAAACCACCTTGGAAAATAATTTTTATTTTATAAATCAGAGCATACGTGTATCTTATAATCTAGCATTTCCACCCCTGGATATGTACCAGAAAAATTCTTGTATATATGTATCATGAGGCCTGTAGAAGAATGTTTGAAATAGCAAAAAATTGTTTTATCTTAGGCAAGTTACATAATGTCTTTGAGCTTTAGTTTCTTCCTGTGGAATAGAGGGATAATAATTCTAACTAGCTCGAAGGGTTGTTGTGAGGATTAAATGAGTTAACCCATGTAAAGTACTTGAGACAATGTCTGCTACGTAGAAAATGCTTAATAGGTGTTAGCTATCATCACTCCAAAGAAGTGAAAATGAGTGAGCTATTGCTACATATATCAACATGAATAAGTTTCATGGAAAAAAATGAGCAAAAAAAGCAAGTTCCAAAATGTCCCAAATAGTATGATATCAGTCAAATAAAATTCAGAAGAATCTAGAACTAAATACTGTTTAGGAATAATACTTATGTGGTAAAACTGTAAAGAACAGTAAGAAATTGTAAAATAAACAACTACTTAAAGATAATATTTACCTATCCAAGTGGTAGAGGTGAGGGATGCTGTTATTTGTTGTCTTGATAATATAATATTTGTTGTCTTGGTTATTTCTCTTAAGTTGGGTGATAAGTATATACATATTTACTTTATTACCTTTATATTATTATGTCTATATTCCTTTATATAAAATATTTCCTAAGGGAAATATCAGTGATTTCGTATATATCCTTCCTTAAACTGATACAATTTTAAAATACCTATTCATCCATCCTATCAATTTGACAGACAGGATCATGTCATACTGACAGTTCTGTCCCTAGCTTTTTTTCATTTAGCAATGTCTTGTGAGTACTGCATACAGATATTTTAAATGGCTTTTAGAATTCTATCATATATGTATACCATAATTTTTTAACCAGTCCTGTGCTGATACAGCCATAGGATGTTTTCTCCTTTTCTTTTTTTGTTAAAAAGAGTACTACGATGATTATTTGTGTGTGTATGTATCTGTATATACGATCACTTTCTCAAAGAAGAAATGCACTCCCACCAACAGTGCAAAATATCCTATTTCTCCGTACCCTTGCCAGTGTTGAGTAGTATTATATTTTCCATCTTTTCTAGTTCGTATAAAAAATTGGCATCACACTTTTAAGTCTTTAATTGAAGTCCATCATCTTCTTTTCATGTATTTATTGTCTATTTCTTTTTCCTGTGAAATAAAATTGGACTTTGTCTTGTACCTCAGTGCTTCTGGGGTGAGAGAGCCCATTTCTATGGATTGTGTAAATTATGTATCTTGAAAGCGTTCCTCAGACAATAATGATTCTCGGCCCTCTGTTCTCCAGTGTGTACAGGGTTCCCCAATAGAGCTTTGATAATTGGATACCTTAGAAGGGTTCTGAGTAGAAAAACCAACAGATTTGCATGCCTAGCCTTTCACAAGACTGGAAACAAGGAGATCACTTAGAAACCTACTAAAATAAGAGAGGCAAAAGAGGATAATGAGAGCTTGCATTAAGAAAGTAGGTAAGTGGATATGGAGAAGAGAAAATGGATTTGAAAGACACTCAGAAGATTAGCTTGTTTAGAAAATTATTTTATGTTACTGACCAAAAGAGAGATTCTGCATGAATCCAGAAGGGTTTAGGGCAAGGGTTGAACAATGTCTCAGTTTATTATCTCAAATACAGAGTGGCAGGGGGTGGAGGGAGGAATCTACTTATGCTAAAAAGCAAGTGACTGGTTCATTAGTCAGTTGAATTACTTGACTATTTTGATAGAATATGATTGTATTGTATTTTTAAATATTATGACTCTATATCAAAAGAAGGGGAGAAAGTATATACCTAGATTTTAAAAGAAATCGCCCTTATAAAAGTAAATAAGCTCTAGAAAAATTGGAAAATCATCCATAATCATACCATCAAGGAATAATATTAACATTCATTTTATATCCTTTTAACCTTTCATCTTTTTATGTTTATAATACTATAAATAAAATTTTATATACTGATTTTTTAACATTAAACAATTCTCCACAAAGTAGTTATTATTCATAAACCTAATTTCAAATGACCACTCATTCCATTAAGTGGGCATACCATAATTTACATAACCATTCCCTTAATTTGGGACATTAAGGTTATTTCTTCATTTTTAGTATTAAAAAAAATCTGAGAAAAATATTTTGTGCCTAAAGCTCTTTCTATTTAGTACATTTTTTTCTTTACTAGATTGAATAAGTGGTCAAAATGTGTGAATGTTTTAAAAGCTTTTGTTACATTTTACTAAAATTGCTTTTCAGAAATGGTTGGTCCGGATTTTCCTCCTGTGTATAGAATAAGCAGGGAATGAGAAGGAGCATTTTCCTTATCACCACTTTTTTTAATACTTTGTCAACTTAATATACACCTAAATTTAAACTTGCTGAAAGAGACATAGTTAGGTAGTAGGAAAATGCTAATTTCCTGTTTAGGATTCTCTAAAAATGTTAGTTTCTCACAATTCATGGGTAATATGTCCCTTATTGTAGATTTTAGACTCTACATTTTCAAACAGTGAGGGTTGGTGTGTTTATTTTTACCATATCAGACACCTGAAAGATGTTTTAGTTATTAACTGAGACACATTTAGGTGTATAGTTATAAATTCACTGTGTAGTATGAAACATTTTTTTTAAAAAAATATTTATTTATTTATTTGATGGCACCAGGTCTTAGTTGCAGCTCATGGGCTCCTTCTTTGTGGCATGGGAACTCTTAGTTGCGGCATGCATGTAGGATCTAGATTGAACCCGGACCCTTTGCATTGGGAGCGCAGAGTCTTATCCACTGTGCCACCAGGGAAGTCCCAGTATTTCTAATTAATAGGTTAATTCCACGTATTTTGGTAAGCATTTTTAAGTTGAACTAAATCATTTATTACCCAAATACTATGCACATTTTATTTGTTTAATAATGAAATAATACTTTTGATATTTCCCTTTAAAAAATAATGTATTTATTTTTAATCAAAATGAAATTTATTACTGTTTAATGTAAGTAGAATTAACCTAAGTCAGTACAGTAAAACACTGGGTCATGTAAACATTTTGTATTTATTCAGATACAAATTTTTAAGTAAGCTTTATTATATTTCAGAATATAATATTTCAGAATTCTTAAATGACTTCCCAGATTAGAATACAGTAAAGACAATCTGATCAAAGTAGTTGTCACCATTAAAAGCATAATTACTTTATGATCACTACTATTACAGTTTATGCTTGTTTATAGTTTTTAATCTCTTGAGTATCTCAACTAACCCTGAGATTTTTAATACAAATATTATACCCAGTTTATAATAAAAAGGAGCTGTGATTTAGAGAAGTTAATTGCTTAAATTTCATACCCAAGTTGGATAAGACAAGGTTCCAACCTAGGCCCTTTCTCTAAACCTTTTTGTTGTTATTGTTGTTTTCTTCTATTCAGTTTTCTTATGATTTTTGACAGTTACTTGGGTCATTTATTTTGAAAACTCCCTGGAACAAATAAATATATTTCCTGAATTCTTTTTTACTCTTCCCAATTTTGATCATTAATTTTGAAAGAATGTTTGCTGAATACCATTATTTAGCCACCTCCTTTCCAATAACTTAGCATTAACTGTCATAACACAGTTAGGAAAATTAGCTAAAAATAGCAATTAACTGGGTTTGACATATGTAGTTTTAAGTGACAGTAGACTCTCAGATACATTTTTTAAAGTTTAATTGCTTCTTGATAAAATAACAGCTTTTAGTTTTCAGAGCATTTTCACATATATTATCATCTCACTAAATCCTTATGACAATCCATGTCATAAAACAGTGTATAGGTATTATAATTATTTAATTGAAAAACCTGAGTTCCAGAAAAATTAAATGTCACAAAGCTTCTTTGTTTCAGAGCAAGGACCAGAACATGCATTTATAAATTTATAATATCTTAGCCATAACTTTTATGAACTTTATTGCTTAATACTAGAAGTAATACCAAATTTTAATGTTTTTTTATTTTTATAAAAATCTTGTGTTTCTACCTTTAAAATTATTAGCCCTATAATGATTTCTCTAAATTACTTTAGAATGAGCCAGTAAAGGTATTTCTGTCATTTTACTTGGCTGTCACTTTTTCTTCCCAAATAATTATGTACTAACGGGAAAAATAATAGCAAAGAGTTACCTCATGTCTTAAAAAAAGAAAAAAGAAACAAAACCTTTTCAGGACTTTCTGTTTTGTAATGTGCTAAGTTTCACTTATTCAACATTTATTTCACAGAAATATTGTTTATGAAATTCCAAAAGGATTTTGTTAGTGACTATCATTGATAGAGCATATCTCCTTCACTGAGTCTTGTATATGGTTTGAATCCTTCTAAATAATCAGCAAGTTCAGGCTAATTAATTAATTCACTCATTCAATTACTTTTAAAATTACGTGGACTACTGTCTTCCTTCTTCCATCCCTCGTATCACACAGTACAATCCTTGGTACTGTGTAAAAAGAAAAAAATTCTTTAAAAAAAACTTGCAGAGTAACAGTTTTATTGATTTGTATTTTTTCCTCATAATTTCTTCACTTTCTGTGTACATATATCACTTTTAGTTATAATTAACAGCTTTATTGTAATTAGATATCTTTCTCACTTGGCATGGATAGCCTTCTAATTCTTCCTATGTTATTTTTTTTAAGAAAGTCCATTTTGCTTATAAAGTTGATTTTTTTTTTTATTCATATTATTTTATTTTCACATGACTTCCTAACGCACATTTGAGTTTGGGGAATTGCCATACACACTGATGGTGGTGGTACATACTTACTGATTTGCTAAATTCTTGTTAGAGTGAAGGTATCTTATTTTGTTGTTGTTTTTTACATTCTGGTAACTAATGAGTTGGGGATTGTTCCCATTAGGCAGCTGAAGAGGATACTTCCAGTTCTCTAGTGAAAGATCATCTCTTCCAGCAAGAGACAGTTATAACCAGTGAGCCTTACAGAAGCTCAAGACCTTCTCCCTTTGAAGATCTGAATGCCAGAAGAGTCTACCTGCAAAGCCAAGCCAATCAGGTGAGAAAATAAATATTTTTCAATATATTATTCATATTTATAGAAATCGGATGTGTTAGATGAGAACATTAGGACCATCTGCCCTTTACCAGTCAGAGAACAACAGAAACCCAGGAGAATAAGATTTATAATGAGTCAAATCCGGAATGAGACAATACATATATGTCATAATGTCCTATACAGGTGTAATAATTGAGTCATAAATTTGACTGTAAATTTTTTGATGATAAAGGGGAAATGGTGTTAGTTACATTTTCATTATCCAGTAGAGGGATACAAAGGAATATAAACCATAGTTTCTGTTCTAAAAGAGTTTATGATGGCGTAATAGATACGTGCTCATAGTGATATGGGAGTACAGGATAGGGGTATTGAAGTCATTGTGGAAGATGAGAGTTTGTGTTTTTTCTTAAGATACACCTGAACTTTTCAAGGATGAGAAAAATTGTTAACTAATTGAAGAGCGTGGGGCTGGTGATGAAAATTGGGGAGGGAACACAGGAGGAACGAGGGGATGAATGTTTTAAGCAGAGGGAATTTTAGTCAGCATAGTCTGCCATAACAAAATACCATAAACTGGGTGGATTAAATAACAGGTTTTTTTCCTCACAGTTCTGAAGGCTTGGGAGTCCCAAGGTTAGGGTGCCAGCACAGTTGATTCCTAGTGAGGGCTCTCTTCTTGGATTACAGACAGCCGCTTTGTCTCAGTGCCAGAGAACGCCCAAGTGAGCAAGCTCTCTGGTGTCTCTTATAAAGGGCACTAATCCCATCATACCAGGACCACACCCTTCATGACCTAATTACCTCCTGAAGGCCCCACGTCCAAATAGCATCACATTGGGGGGTTGGGTTTCATATAATTTGGGGGGGGCAGGGGTGGCACAAACATTTAGTCCATAGCAGGGAACAGTATGAGCAGAGGTATGCATGATCTAGGGGGAAAACAACATGGAGGGTGAAAAAGAGAGGCAAAGAGAACAAGAGCCAGACTCTCGGGGTTTTATGTCCTGCAAACCACCTTGGACTTAAATCTTGTTTGTTGCTTCACAAACCTGGGTACACATTCATGTGCCAGAAGACACAAGAAACCACAGGTTAAACACAGTGCATTTTTATGGAGTGTCACTTTTACTTACAAACAAAAAAATCCAAAGTGGTGTACCAGGTTTACATTCCCACTAGTCATGGGAATTTTCCTGAATACTTGGTATGATGCCCCCCCTTTCCCCCCTCCTCCCTTTCTTTCCCAATTTAGTCACTTAGTGGAAGTAAAATAGTATTTTATTGTGATTTTAGTTTATACTTTCCTGATTACTACTGCTGTTGAGCACCTTTTTTTATATGCTTATTGACCATTTAGAAATTCTGTTTTGTAAAGTACCTATTCAAGTATTTTGCACATCTAATATTGAGTTGTCTTTTTCTTATTGATTTATAGGCATTTTCTTTTTGTTTATTTTGGAAATAAGTCCTTTGTTGGATATATATATTGCAGATATCTTCTCTCTGGTGGTCTGTCTTTTCACTCTCTTAATAATGTCTTTTGCTGAATAAGAGTTCTTAATTTTAATAGAATAGTGATTGTTCCCTCTGTGGTTAGTGCTTTTTGTGTCATGTATAAGAAATCTTTGAGTATCCTCACCAAGCCATGAAGATATTTTATGTTGTCTTTCAGAAACTTTATTATTTTTTCTTTCATGTTTGATTTTTGTAAGTGGTATAAGGTTAGGAGGTCAAGGGTTCCCTCCCTGCACCGCAACCCCCAAATCTGGGTAGCCAGTGATCCAGCACCATATAGTAAAACACTATGCTTTCTGAAACAAGTGCATTGCATTTTCAGCTTTGTCATGTGACTGTATGTGTGTGGATCTATTTCTATTCTCTGTTCTGTTCCCTTAGCCTATTTGTCTATTTTTATACTTGTACCACACTTTTAAAATAACAGTAGTTATATAATATTTCTGGGATCTGGGAGTTATGTCCCCCAGCTTTGTCCTTTAAGAGCTTGTTGTTCTTGACCTATGTAAATTTTAGAGTCAGCTTATCAATTTCCACAAAACTCCTAGAATTTTGATTGACATTGTATTGCATTCATAAATTAATTTGGAGGAAGTTAACATCTTGATAATACTGAATCTTCTAATCCATGAAATGGTAAATTCATTCATTTATCTTTTGTTAGATTTATTCTTAGGTATTTAATTTTTGTAAGTTTATTTAGGTATTAATTATTATAAGTATATTTTGTAAATTGATCTTATATCCAGAGACATTATTAAATTAATTTATTAACTCTACTTAAAATCTGTAAATTTTTTAAATGTCTGTTTCTTGTCACACTGGCTAGGACTTCTAGTGCAGGGGGGATTGACTTTCTTATTTTGTTCCTTATCTCGGGAAAGCTTTCTATATTCATTGCATTCATCATTATGATATTTGCTGTATGTTTTCATAGATCCTTTTAACAGATTAAGGTATCCATCTATTATTCCCACATTACTAAGTTTTTTATGACATGCTTCTGCAGTAATTGAGATGATTCTAATTTTTTTCCTTGTTGATTCTGTTGATTGGTAAAATGTAATAATTGGTTTGCAACCTTGCAGTCTTGGAATAAACCCATCTTGGTTTCCATATAATACTCATTATACATACACCTATAAACATATGCACACATAAAATTGGGTTTAATAATATTTTATCTAGGATTCTTATGTCTGTGTTCATGAAAGAGATTGGCATATAATTTTCTTTTCCCATAAAATCCCGGGCAGGTGTTGTAATCAAGGTATGCTAACTCCATGAAACAAACTGGGCAGTGTTTCTTTTTTGCAGTTTGTGGAAAAGTTTAAAATTTGTTGTTAAATGTTTGGTAGAATTTCCTGGGGAAGCCGTCTGAGCCCAGAATTTTCTTTATCAGATGATTTTGAGCTACAGATGGATTTCTTTAACAGATACAGGACTATGCTGATTTTCTAATTCTTTTTAGAAAGGCTTTTTACAGGATTTTGGTTTTTATTCCTTTTTTATGGAAAATTTCAAACATACTAGAAGTTGAATGAATAGTGCAGTCAATTGCTGTGTACTACCCTGCTTCTGACATTAGTCATTGGCAAAATGATGATATGCCATATTTTCATTATTATTCAGAAATGGATTGATTTTTAAACATTTGGGGTTTTCTACTTTTCTTTTTATTGCAGATATTCTAAGAATATACTCTGAACGATTTCATTCGTTAACATTTGTTGAGACTTATTTAATGACTCAACATAAGGCCCGTGTGCCATGTGCACTTGAAAAGACTTCATATTCTTAGATGTTGTGTGCAGTGTTCTTTCTATATATTAGGTCAGGTTTGTTATCCTTATTAACTTTAAAAAAATCTGCTTGTCAGTAACTGAGCAAGGTATGTTTAAAAATCTCCAACTTTGTAGAATCATCTTGTTTTAATCCCATCAGTTATTTACTTTATATATTTTGAGGCTATTATATATTGCTTGTAATTTTATAATTGTCATACCTTTATGTTGAATTGACTGTCTTGTCATTATGAAATATCCTTCCTTATCTGTGGTAATACTTTTTGCCTAAAAGTCTACTATGTCTGATATTTTCTTTTGGCTAACGTTTACACAGCGTGTGTTTTCCCATCCTTGTACTTTCAACATTTATGTGTCATATATAAGATGCCTCTTTTAAACCATATGCAGTTGGGTTTTGTTTTTTTCTCAGGGTGTTTTTGTCTTTTAGAGTATTTTGTCTACTTACTTTTACCGCAATTATTGATATAGCATAAATCTACCATCTTACTTGTTGTCTGTTTGCCCCATTTTTCTCTGTTCATTGTTTCCTCCACTTGGCTTATTCAGGTATATTTAACTACTTAATTTTTCTTTTTTATTAGATAATTAATAATACAGTTCAGTGCTTTTATTGTAATCCTAGAGGTCACAATACACATTGTTAACTCCTTAGAATCTACCCTAAATTGATTTTTTTTTAAACCACTTCTGGAAAATGCATGGATCCTACAATACCTTAATGCCATTTATCTCTTCTTCCTTTACCCTTTGTGTTGTCATGAAATTTATTCTGTGTGTATGTATTTATAACCTCCCAAAATTATATTTTAAACAGTCAACATTGATTTCAGTTTATCCGTCTACTTATGCTTTTGGCTGTTCTTTAATCCCTTGTTTATTACCATACTACCAAGTAGGATCATTGGCTGCTTATTGCTGTTGGTGAATCTTCGTTGTCGTTTTTCTGGAAACATCTTTTATTTCCTCCATATTTGAAGGATGTTTTGCTGACTGTCACATTCTAAGTTATCATTTATTTTCTTAGACCACTTTAAAAGATGTCACACCATTGTCTACACTTTTCCATCATTGCTATTAAGAAATACTGTCTATCTTTGGCTTTTCGCTGTTTTATTATGCTATGCCTAGGTACTAGGTTTTTTTTATTGGGTTTCTAGAGCTTTTTGAATCTGGCTGATATCTTTGAACAGATTTAGAAATTTCTCCACCATTGTCTCTTCAAATATTGTTTCTAAATGTGAGGCTCAGGGAGAGATATGGACTGAACTTAAAGTTGGGAGTCGTTATCTAATGATGGAAATTAAAACTATGAGAGAAGTTTGAATTACTTTGTAAGAAGAATAGTATTCAAAGCTGGAACACTGAGGATCGCTAAATGTTAAAAGACAGGGTGTTGAAGAAGAGCAGTCACACAGATAGGAGAACTAGGAAAGGGCAATAATGTCTCAGAAGCCTGAGAAGGAGAGTTAAAAAGGTAAGTGACAGAGTAGTTAATTAATGTATTGCAATTACATGGTCCAATAAAGGACCTGGATTGAATCCTGGATTCATCTCTGTAAAGGTAATTGATACCCCTAGCATAGTTTCAGTGGGATTAGGAGGTATTCATGACAGTAGAAGAAACAACTTTTTTTTTTTTTTTGCCTGAGCTCCTTTCAAAAGTTTGACTACAGA